AATAACAACACAAAGGGCAGCTAATAGATTCAGTACGCAGGCATTTAAAAAACTTCAGGATTTGTATATGTGTGCATTGTTTCTCTGCAAGTAAACAACTATTGGCCTAAAGACTATTTATCTAAGGTCATGTAGCTAAGTTAGTGGACACAGAATTAAACATGGTATTTAACACTGTTTAAAACTGAAAATATAGTGTTGCCTGGTGAGCTAGTGCTTCAGACCAAGCTAGTACCTTTCATAACAACATTTAAAAAAAAAGAATTACTGAGACCAGCATTGTGGCTGACCAGGTTAAACCTCCGCGGCATCCCATGTGGATGCTGGTTCAAGTCCCAGAAGCTCCACTTCCCATTCAGCTCCCTGCCAATGGCCTGGGAAAGCAGTGGGAGATGTTACAAGTACTTGGGCCCCTGTACCCACATGGGAGAACCGGAAGAAATTCCTGGCTTCTGGTTTCAGGCTGGCCCAGCTCCGGCCTTTGCAGCCACTTGGGGGGTGAACCAGTGGATGCAAGACCTCTCTCTGTCTCTCCCTCTCTGTCTGCAACTCTCTCAAATAACTATATAAATCTTTTTTAAAAAATAAGAATGACGATTAAATGTACCAGTTGTACAAATAAATGTAAAGTAATAGTTCTCTTAACAGGAGGTACTGCAAAACAAATTGAATTAAATGTCACTAACAAGGCAAATATATGAAAAAAAATTACACCAAAAGTTGAAAATCAAAAGGATAAATGAAGCCATTGCAGACAGACTTACAGAAAGAAAAAAGAAAAGAAAGGGAGAGAAGAGAAGAGGATTGGCAACATTAATATGAAAGAAAGTAGCTCCAAATGCATAGAGGGTTATTTCATATTGACAAAAACATAACAAAGACCTAACAAGAGCCTTTATGTAGTTAACGTTATATTAACACACAGTAATTGTTATAAAGAAGTTGACAGAAGCCCATTTGTAGACATACTAAAGGCCCATTATCAGTGTGCAGACAGATAAACAAGGCACTGAGGACATGAATAATGGACATTATAGTGAATAATGAATAATTATAATGAATAATTCTAATACATTATAATATATTATATAATACATTATAATGAATAATGACATTATAATGACTGAATTAATACACATATACTGTACTTGTTACCTGTAGAAAAACACACTGCCTTCAAGCATTCGGGAAACAGAAACCTTTAACCCACAAGAAATAAAAAATTCATTTACCAGGATAAATAAAACCGATAATCAATACAACAGTTTATGTGTAGAAGCCCCTACAATAAAAATCACTAGTAGTACTCCAGTGAATATTAACAAGAATATTTATTGTCCCTGTATTGTTTTAAATTTTTATAGCAATTAGTATTAGCATAAAACACAGAAGTTAAGCTAGGTTTTTTTTTTATTGCCAATCTCAGATGGAAAATTTATCTTCCTTTAATAATGGTAGATTCAAAACTAAAAATAATTGTTAGGGTTGAGGTTTGGCCTAGCAGTTAAGTCACCAATTATGTCTTTTTTTTTTTTTTTTTTTTGAAGATATATTTATTTATCTGAAAGGCAGAGTTACCGAGAGGCAGAGGTAGAGAGAGAGAGGTCCATCTGATGGTTCACTCCACAGATAGCCGCAATGGCTGGAGCTGGGCCGATCCAAAGCCAGGAGCCAGGAGCTTCCTCCAGGTCTCTCACGCGGGTGCAGGGGCCCAATGACTTGGGCCATCTTCTACTGCTTTCCCAGGCCATAGCAGAGCTGGATTGGAAGAGGAGCAGCCGGGACTAGAACCAGCGCCCACGTGGGATGCAATGCAGGCAGCAGGGGCTGTACCCGCAACGCCACAGCACCAGCCCCACCAACTGTGTCTTAAGATGTCTAAGTCCCACATCAGAACGCCTGATTTCCTGAATGCGATTCCTGACCCAGGCTCCCCACCAACACAGACCCTAGGAGGCATCAGTGATGGCTCCATTGCTTGGGTTCCTGCCACCCACCTGGGAGACCTGGATTGAGTTCCTGGCTCCTTGGCGTTTTATAAGAAAACCAACAAATGCTTCTCTTTCTCTTTTTCTCGCCTTCTACCTCTCAAATAAAATTTTAAAACTAATTAATACCACTAAATCAGAAATACCCTGGGTGCTTATTAAAAATGATAGTTTTAGATCATTTAAACTATTGATTATTTCAAAATTATTAAAAATCAAGTACTACATGTCAAAACTGCCAACAAAATTGATAAATGTCAATCCTTATATAATTTCATCACTTAAAATAAATGACCTGGAATAGGTGTTGTGACACAGTGGGTTAAGCCACCACTTGCAATGCCTGCATCCCATAACAGAGAACGGGTTCAAGCCCTGGTGCCTGCACTTCTGATTCGGCTTCGTCTAATGCACCCTGGGAGGCAGCTGGTGATGACCCAAGTACTCATGTCCCTGCCACTCACATGGGAGACCTGGACAGAGTTCCTGATTCCCGGTTTCTGCCTGGCCCAGCCCTGGCTGTTACAGGCATTTGGAGAGGGAATCCCTCCCCCCCTTCCCCTCCCCCTTCCCTTCTCGCCCTCCTCACTATGCCTTCCAAGTACATGAAAATAAATAAAAGATCTCATTTCAGCTCAAGAAGTGAGAACCAGAGTTTTGCTGGTTTTCCCAATTTCCGTCAACATGCCCCTCTTCCATCCCCCTCTCCCAGGCTCACTTGACCAATTCGACTCAAGTCTGGGCATAAATACCATTTTCCCAAAGAAACCTCCCTCAACCTCCCAGAAAGTGCGTCTCCCTAGCAGGCTCCTCCAGGACAAACAGCCTCCCGCCTTCCTCCCTAATCCCTGTCACACGGAGTCAGCCGTTCAAAGGCTGATTCTTTCACTGGATTATAAGTCTCGTGGAGTCGAGCTTGCATCCTATGTACCACTGTAATACGCTCAGTAGGTGGTAAACGTGTTGTTTTTCATGAATTCAAATATCGATCATTAGGAAGGTCATTACTATATGCCAGGTATTGTTCTAAACATTTGGAAAACGACACAAAATAAAACACTAATTACCAAAAAAAAAAAATCTTTGCCCTCATCTAAGAAGTCAGAAGAACAAAATACAAGAGAAAAAAGCCTTCAGGCAGGATGAATAAACAGGAAAGGTCACACAGCTGTGAGTGCAGTGGTTAGAGAAGGCCTCTCCAAAAGGTGACCTTGAGTTAGAAAATAGGGAGCAAGCAAGATACTTCGGAAAAGAATATTCTAGGCGGAGGGGACAGCTGATAGCAAAAACCTGGACATCATGGTCTGCTCTGTAGTTAAGCCAGCACTGGGCACAGAGGTGAACAGGCTGCTTGGGTCACCAGGATGCCATCTCAGAGTGTCTGAGTCCAGGCTCAGCTTGGCGCCAGCTTCCTGCACAGGTGCACCCTGTTGAGTAGTGGATGGCTCAAGTACTTGGCCCACACCCCTACAAGGGAGACCCAGAAAGAGTTTCGGGCTCCTTGCTTCGGCCTGGCCCTGGTCAGGTTGTTGTGGGCATCTGGAGAGTGAACCGGGGATGGGAGATCTCTGAAACTATTTGTCACTGTCTTTCTGCCTCTCTGCCTTTCAAATAAAGCTAATGTAAATGAATAAAGCATTTTAAAAACACACATGGCAATTGTTGACAGTAAGGACAGAACTCTGGGAACAGAGGCACCTGTAGATAGACAAGCACAAGCCCTTAAAAAGATACAAAGAAGCAAGCGGAGGTAGAGAGTAATTCATTAAATCTGATACACATTAAATATTGCGACTATTAGATAGTCCTTAGAAATTTTAAGTGAAAGATTTTTTAATGGCATGTGGACATACTTGCAATACAAAGGAGGAAGGGCAGATCGGTTTAAAACGGTAAGAAATTATCCCAAATTGGAATAAGGAAGTTATTCTTTAGTGGCAGAACTACAGAGAAATCTTTTGTATCTCCCAAATGTCCAAAAAGGAGCATGCGTTGTTTTTTGCTACCAAATGGAAATGGGTCTCATTTTTAAAAAATCGTAACGGTTTAGGGAGCAACAACTCAGAATAAATTTATCTCTGTTCTATCTTGCATGTAAAAAGGCACACCTGTATAATTACCTGAAATGGAAATAAATTCTTAACCAGAAAACAGATTGTCTTTAACCAGATAAATAACAAGGCTTATACTGTATCCTACCCTTTACCTTAATTGGGCAATTAAAGCTTAAAATTACTTGACCAGACTTTAAAAACTTCTGTTCCAAACCTTGACTCCAGCCAAACCTGTTTGGCTCTTGAAGTGTGGTCTTTAGGCTACTGGGAATTCCAGAGTTCTTCAAGAAATCTATCTTTTGTCATGGCCGTGGCAGTGACTGGACTCTCACTACTGTTAGTGTTATACCTACAACTCTCTTTAGTCCCCAAAACACCACCAGTCTCATAATTACTTTCAGGATTTTTCCAGATAGCTTGAACAGATTGTCACTGGAATCTCTGTCGCCCCAAATATGATGCCCAAACTCAGGCCATTTCCTTTGTGTTGTCCAAGAATCATCATGTTCAGCAGTGATCCATAAAACCATCTCAATCATCTACTACAGAAAAATAACCTAGAGAATCTACAGATGTCATGTCCTGGTCAAGTTACTGAGTCTATCACCTTTCACTCTAACAGTGGTCTCCAGCTTATCACATAGACGTCACCGGCATTCACTTCAACATTTAACAACTATTCCTAGGAATGCCCAGCTACACTGCCAACTCAAATCTCCAGCTACCAGCTGAAAACCTCTGCCTGCCTGGCTTCGGACACGTCCTAAACTACCCAATCTCACAGCAACAATTCTCATATTCCCAAGTCCCATCTGGGAATGGCATCAACATGGCCTTTGAGGTCCCCAACAGCCTCCGGCAGCTTTCTGGTCTACCTCCACAACCTTCACATTTGGCATGCATGCACACTGCCAGCAACCATAAATTCCAGGCTCTCTTCCCCAAGCCTGTCACTCACCAGCAGCACCCTGGGCCTTCCTTGTTACCCCTCTGCATGTGAAGAGTTTCTCTTATGGCTGGTCCTCTGAGGACAGCATCCTGCTACAAATCATCCCTCCACTCTAACACAGACTTGGGCTTGCCATCCAGCCTCGGTGACACAGACAGCCCTTTGTGTAAACTTGGGTTTACAGTATTTATCACTGTCTGCCCAATCTGAGTCATTTGTGTCCATGTCTCTCTGTGTTTACAAAGCTACTGAAGAACAGGGACCATACTTTCTTGGTGACTGTTTTCTTTTTTAAAGATTTTTTTGATTTATTTGGAAGTCAGAGTTAGAGAGAGAGAGAGAGCGAGCGGATCTTCTATTCACTGGTTCACTTCCCAGATGACCACAACAGCCAGGTCTGGGCCAGGCTGAAGCCAGGGCCTTCTTCCAGGTCTCCTATGTGGGTACAGGGGCCCAAGCTCTTGAGCCATCCTCCACTGCTTCCCACCAGGTGCATTAGCAGGGAGCTGGATTGGAAGTGGAGCAGCCAGGACTCGAACCTGTGCCCATATGGGATGTAGGTACCGGAGGCTAACTCACTGTGCCAGAGGGCTGGCCCCATCTTTTTCTTTTTTTATTTTAATGTCCTTAGGCAAGCGCAAGGATGTCAAAGTGCTGCAGGACATCCATTGCCTGGAACTGAACGGAGCGGGTCTCAGAAAGTGAGTAGTCAGTCATGTTGGCCTAGCCTTTGAACCTGTGTCTACTCAGGGAGTGAAGCAGGCAGTTCTCTGTGGAAGCACAACAAATAGGGGGGACAGAATGAATGCCTCATTTTCTTGACATGACAATAATCCTTCCCCCAACAAATCACAGTCCAGGAGGCGAAGGAGCCCCTTAACGAAAGGCAATTCTCTTCGGGCTGCGGAACTCCCCTGGTAAGAACGCGCCATCCTTATCTGCTGATTATGGGGAGCACCTGTCTACCACTCCCACGGTGAAACCTGCCCCTAATGAATAACTGCACCTATCTTCTCCACTCCAGAAGTGGCCTGCCCACCTGTGCCTTGTTTCCCTAACAAAAGGCTCCTGGACACCAGATACACGCTCCCAAGTGCTCCTACCCCCTCTCCCGAGCCCCGATGAAGCAGAGTCCTTGTGCAAATACCATTCTCTGCAATATTTGTCATCTGGGTTGTCACACAGCTGGAAACAGTTTCCTCGCTGGCTGTTCCTAACAGCCAGACATTCCTAGCACTGTGACAAGAACTCTGAATTGAGTAATGTCACGTTGCCCCCAATCAAGAAGAGACCACGCAGGCTCTTCCAGCCTCAAACCTCTCCCCCTCGATGGCAGCCTCCACTGCAGCCTCCCTAGGACACAAGGGAACACCAGACTTCAAAAAGCTCATGGAAGAATGGGAGGGAGTGAAACTGCACATTATCCATGCACTTTCTGAAGATCCCTCAGCTGGGCCGTCTCAGTGCACACAAACCTGTGTATATACACATACCATGCACACACATCAATATTCACAAACACCTACATGTCTGTGGGTTCATACAAGCAAAAGGACAAATATGGAGTCTATTGCAAATTGCTAACAAGGGGTGACAACCACACGGATCCAACTGAAGCACCAGGGGGAGGTTATCACATTTACTTTAACCATATCTCCATCATGTGAACCACTACAAAAGGCATACATTGTTGCAAATGCACACAGCTACCTTCTTCTGGTCCGAATACTTTCTGCTCTGTTTGTAGCCCTAAATCATTTCAACAAGACCATAAGTAAGATGCATTAAGAAAGCAAAGCACCATGTCAGTGTGGCCTCAAAGTAATTCTGACTTCCCAGGAATACCGGATCTGGATTATTCTAGGAAGCAAGCGATAAACAGGACAGAGCAGCTCAAACACAAGCAGGGTCAAAACTAAGAGCATACAAAACGAGACCGAAGGCAAGCCTACAGATAAGACACAGCCATGTCTGGCTGTAGACTCTTACAACTAACAGGTAAGTCTTGGCAAAATATTTCAAGTTTATGAGAGGCACTTCTGCCCCCTCTGCTTGCTGGCAGGATGAGGGTCAGTTTGCATGCACCTGGGCTGATGGCACAGCTGCAGGGAGAGGCTGGGCGAGGAACCGCGCACCTGACCTTCACTTGTCCTGCAGTGAGGTTCCTCAAAGCATCCAGGGGTTGCTGGGGCAGGGGTTAAAAGAACAGAAAAAATATTTCAAGTTTATAAGATGCAGATGAGAACGTTAGGTTCTGCCTCCCTTCCTAGGAGGGAGAAGCTGACCTGAGAGTCCTAAGACCACTTTGCAGAAAAGGTTCCTGAGATTGAGGAACAACCCAGCAGACACGCCCCCATGTTTCTAGGCACTTCCGAAGAGCCCCCATCATTCACAGAAGATGACAGAATGCAGGCTCCAGGAGAGAAGGGGCCTTCCACGGCTTAGATTCCACTGTTCCCCCAGGATGCAGTGGGTGCTCAACAAGCATCTACTGAATGTGGCCTGATGAATGAATGAACGTCAAGGATTAAATTAAGAACCATGTACATGAAAACTAGAATTGGCAACCAGAGAACACCAGTTCTTACTCCTGCTTTACAGATATTACTTCACCCAGAAATAGCAACGCTAGAAATAGGAAGCTGCCTGGTGCCCTCTTTCTGGATCCCTTCTTTTCCTCTCCTGGAATTCATTTACCTTGCAGGATCCTTCCAGATCCTAACCTTCCAGAGGTCTTCTTGGATTCTCTGCACCCCCGAGTGTCAGGTGTTACCCCAGGGTCACCAACCTATAAAGCTCACAATGCTCGATACACTGGGCTGTAATCATCCCTTAGTATGTCTGTTAGCTCCTCCTGCAGGGTAAGAATCCTGCGGTACTCACCCTCACCCACCACGACCTGTTGGTATGCAACAGGCAGGCAATTAAGTGTTCCTGGAGTTGAACAGAACTTGCTTCCTCTGTCCTGATCCAGTTCTCCCCCCTAAGAACAGGACTATGCCTCTAATGGGAGCAGAGTTTCACAATTAAGGTGATTACAGATTGGTCAAAGAGACCAATCTGACAATAAGTCAAATCTGTGCCCTGTTTTGACATTTAAGATCATAAATAAAGGGAAACTCAGAAAAAGGGAATGGCTCACGGTAGCAGTCTGTGTGCAGGAATCCTGAACCACACATCTGACCACAATGAACAAAACTCTCTGCCTAACAGTTACCATGTTGGCAACCCCGTGGCCAGGCATTATCAGCCAAACTCGCTTTTTCTCTTTTAGAGGCGGCGGCTGGTTTTGAAATCATTTTTCTTTACGTCTCATAACGCAACAAACACAGCCCGATCTCTCTCATTCAGGCTTACACATGTTGTTTTAGCACTGGGCCAAAGAGTCTACCCTGTCAATATGACACTTTTTAAAAACAGTATCACAAAAATTAATTACAACCTAAATCTATGCATATGAGAAAATGGTCCCCTGCCATTTCTTGAAAAAATTTTTTTAAATTTTTGTATGAACTTTAGGATGAAAGGTCCTATAGCAGTGATCAGATGACAGAAGCTAACATCTAAATATTAAGACAATTTTCTTTGGCTGATCCCAACATGTCAATAATAATTAGAACAACGCTACTTTGAAATCTTACTAACTTGCTAAAAGAAAAAACTCCAGGGAATTTAAACTAAATCTCCATCACTCCCCCACTCCAACATGTCCTTTCAAGAAATAGAGTCTAATAACCTTGTGCTCCTTCAACTTAAGTAACTTAATTTATTAAACAGGTCGAACCCAAGTCGCCTGGCAGAAGGTACACTGCTGGGAGCACCATTCATTCAAACTGTCTTCAGAGAACAGCCGGAAGCAGATAGCCTCATCTCTACCAATGACCTCTCTCTAGCCTGGCATCTCCAGATTCAAGGGCACTTAAAGGATTTAGCCAAGGCAGCTGCACCTTTGCCATGCAGCTGAAACCTGTCCATTCCCATCTGTGACACCAAGTATTGAACTACAGAGCTCTCCCGGCTGGATCCCACAGAGGGTCTTCCCATCTGAGAGATAATGAGCTCCACACTTCAGCGCTGGAGTTTAGACTTTTTTTTTTTTTTTAAAGGAAGTAGTAGGTGCCGGATTGAATCAACTACTAGAGACTGAATGTCAGAAAGGATTCTTGGGGCTATGTCAGCCCTCACTACAATATTGAGGGTACTACTGTCTGTCCGTTACAGGGGCACTGACCCCACTTTCAGACTAGGAATTCTTTCTCTCCTATGCTGCAGATACTCAGCCATTGTGGCTAAATGCAATGTGTAACATAAACAGGGTCAAGAATGCCAGTTGTCAGAAGAGCCATGTTTAAATTAGCATTAAGTAGCAAGCCTTTCACTAAACAGAGAGAGATAAAATGTCTTCTTGGTCAGCCTCGGGCCTGCAGAGTGATTTTAGCACACATGCTCCGAAAGCCCCACCAAGTCCAGATGTAACGCAGTAAGTACCATTAATGTTCGCTAAATTCAATTTGTCTAAAGTACAGAGAGCATTGCCAGTTGGGAGGGGAATGATGGAGGGAAAGAAACCGCACATAGTTTATTCCACAATCTTTAGATAGTATGTATACACTGGAGGAGCCATGAGTTACAATCAAAATGTGCCAAATAAAAACCCAGTCATCCCTCCATCATTTCACCGCCCCCCCACCCCCCGCCGGGATGTGTGTCACTCAGTATCTTCCTGCATTGTGAAGTTCAACCACCCTCCCCCGCCCATCCTCATGTAGCACACTTATCAACATAACCTCCAAGGTTTTCTGTACTTGTCACCTTGTAACTTCCCAGCCCTCATCACCCTGACTCAGACCACATTGCCAAAGAATAGGTCTTCCGGCTCCCACCACTCATCTTTTAAGAAACACGTCATCCATCACATTTTGTTTCCAATGTCTTCGCCACAGTCAGCATTTAATTTTCTATTGCTGCAATTCCAAGGCTCCCATGTGCTTCAGCCTCTCAGGTATGCAATATGGTGTCTATAGAGACGAACGAATAGACTACGCATCCTGATGTTAGCTGATCCCTCCCCACCGTACATGGCAGCTCTAGTTTCTAGATGTTTATTTTCATTATCTTTAAATTGGCCATAATAAAAGGAATTCAAGAATTGCTTAGTGAATTAAAAATCCTTCCTTTTCCCCCAACTCTCTATGACATCCTTAATCTCTCTCCATAAAATAATAACATAATCGGGACTTTGGGGCTAACATGCATTATATATAAACATAAGAACCCAGGGGCCGCTGCTGTGGTGCAGTAGGTTAATCCTCCGCCTGCGGCACAAGCATCCCATATGGGCACTGGTTCTAGTCCCGGCTGCCCCTCTTCCAATCCAGCTCTCTGCTGTGGCCGGAGAAAGCAGTAGATGGTGGCCCAAACACTCCGCCTGGGAGACAGGGAAGCAGCTCCTGGTTCCTGGCTTCAGATTGGTCCAGCCATGGCTGTATTTGGGGAGTGAATCAGCAGATGGAAGATATCTCTGTCTGTCCCTCTGTAGCTCTACCTCTCAAATAAATAAAATAAATCTTAAAAAAAAAAAATAAGAACCCAAACAGTAGTAATGCTGACTTCACGTGGCCAGAGCAAACTTTCAGACCCCAAACCAAGAGCTTATATTTAAGTTTTTATTACATCATACTTTGTTTTGAAAACAAATCAAGTTCCTCAACTGTACAGACATACTGGTACCAAAAAAAAAAAATTAAAGAAGACAAGCCACAGACATTAAAACCTTGACCTCAAACTACATTTCAAAAGTCTTATGATTTGCTGGATATTTGGAGTTATCTTGTCAAAATGATACAGTGAATTCTGCCCAGATTGCAATGTGCCTTAGGAAGCATTTGAAATGATTCTCTGCTTGCAAAAGCAACGATCTCAAACTCACTGTCCCTTGTGTAGCAAAAAGACCCAGCAAGTGGGATTTGCACTCACAATGTTCCAGCAGGTCCAGCAGAACAGATTCCACAAAACCTCGCAGCCTATGGCATTATGGGGAGGGGTCAAATCACACTTCGGAAAATACCTGCTCTGAAAGAAAGCTGAAGCTCAGAGGGGGCCGCCACCTTCTCACCAGGACCACCCCTCTCTCCGAGGCATGTGCAGACCCAAGCTGAGTGCCCATGGCACTGGGCAGAGGCTGTCCCCCAGAGGCCATGACAAATGGGAAGACAGCCCGCTGTCGCTAGCAGAGGTGGGAATACAGGGATCAACCTGACCTCTCATCGACTGTTAGTCTGAGCAGGCTCAGGAGCCTTAGATAATAAAGGTATCAGGAGGCTGATCTGGTGGAGGGAATGCCACCACCTCCCTGGTGGAGGAGGAAAGAAAAGCTAGCAGAAAGCAAGTCCCCGCTCAAGTGTCTTGTGCCTGTTGGCATCCCCTTATGGTTTCCTTCCATCTTCCAGGCCCTTACACCGATCCCGCTCAGGCTATAACCATTCCACTCTTCCCTCTCTTCTCTCCTATGGTTCCGGCGCGGGATAACGGCCCTCCGGCAGCTGGAAGGGAGGAGCTGCAAAGATCAGCAAACCTCTCCATTTTCCAGACCAGGACCCCCAAACCCGCCCCCGCCCCCCCCCCCGCCCCAAACCAGGGGACCGGCCCGACTAGGGTCGCACCGCTAGGGGACGCCGAGTCCTTCCCGGTTCAGAAGAACACACCAATGCCTCCCTCCAGGCTCCTCAGCCCGGCCTCCCGCCGATCTCCTCTGGATGCTCGGTTTCTTTTATCCACAAATTGAACAGCATCGAGGGAAACGCAGCATTCACATATTTGCAAGGCTGCAAGTATTCGTAATACTGCATTTGGGGCAAGCGTGCTCAACTCTTACGAGACCCAAAACAGCTCGGTGGCATTGTGTGTGTGTGCGCGCGCATTCAACAGCCGTAACCCTAATAATGCACGCCCTTTTCCCTTGGCACTCACTCCTGTGCCTGACCAGGGAATGACTTCTGCCAACAACCTGCGGGCGGGCGGGCGAGTCGAGTCGGCCTCCCCTCTCCCCAGAACTGCAGGCTTTGAATCCCAGACCGCTCGCTGCCTTCCCAGCACTGCTTACGCAGAGCGCAGCACACTTGGGCAAACAGGCGCAAAACGCAGCAACTGAGCGCCTGAAGGAACAGAGGGCTTTGCTCGCACAGTTAATCACGTTTTCCATATTTACGTCCGCAGAGGAGCCTCTGTCCCACTGGGTAACAACGCATTCGCCGTGGAACCTGAACAAGCCAGCACCCACCGTGACGAAAAGCCCAGAGACTTCAACCAACAGCAAAGAACCAAGAGCAAGAACGGGGAACAACCGTCTCGGGCCCCAGACCGAGGCAGCGACCAGTCCTGGATGCTGTCACTCTCAACACATCAGAGGCCAAACGGCAGCAGAGGAAAACGTGCATAAATCGAAGCCACTCGCAGCCAGCCCGTCCCGCACCAGCCACACCAGTGCCCAGATTTCAAAACCGTCCACTCCAAGCCAGGTCTCTCCCTCGCCTCCCGTCTCCCCGTAAACTCGCTAAGCGTGTTTGTTAGGCGGCTGGACAGAAACTTAGGTTTAAAGTTCTCAGCCAGGGGAAGGAATTGGTGCCGGAGTTGCGCGCGGCGGGGCTGGGGATCCCCCGGCTGCCCAAGGCCACGGGTCCCGACTTTAAGGGCAATCGCAAGACCTCCGGTGCCCCATTTCCGATCCAGGTAGCCAGAGGCCACCTACGTGTCACTTGGGCGGGTCCCGGCCGCGGACACGGCGTACAGCGCGGGCCCGGGGGCGCACAGGAGAGTAGCGGCCCCGGGACGGCTGCGGGAACTCCCCTCCCGGCGCTCGCTCAACCGGTGGGTAAGGGAGGCCGGCCCGGCCGCACGCACAACCACCCGCCCCGCCACCCGGAGCGCGCGCACTCGCACTCTCACCGCCGCCACAAAGCCGGTCTGCGGCGGGACACCGGGAGCCGAGAGCGCCGTTTGGCTGCCGAGCCGTCGCCGCGGCCACTGGCTCCGCGCCCAGGGTGGGCGCCGTCCCCAGCCCAGCCCCGCTCCGCACCCGCTCTTTTACCTGCGCCCGCCGCCGCGCGTCGCCTTCCCGCCGCCCCCGGGCTGGCTTCGGGCCCCGCGGCCCGTCCCGGAGGCCCCAGCCCCGCGGCCAGCCGAGCCCAGCCCTCCGCCCTCCCCCTCGGCCGTCGCCCGGCGCGGGGCCGCCCCCTGCGCCCACCCCGCTGGGGTGCGCCGCTCGGCCGAGAGGCCGGGGAGGGTTGCGCGGCGCTGGGCCCGGGCCGCCCAAGATCCGGGCAGCGCTCGGCGCGGGGACAGGGGAGGCGCCACTCGGGGAGCGTCAGCGCCGCTCGGCCCCTACCGTCCGGCTGGGGCGCGCTGGCCGGGACGCGGGGAGGGGGCGCCGAGGGCGGGACGGCCCCGGGAGGAGCGGCGGGCTCTCTTCCTCCGCCTTCTTCCTTTGCCACTTGGCCCACGCCGCACGAGCCGGCCGCCCCAGCAGCCGCGGACGCCCCCGCCCGCAGCCCGTCCCCTTACCTGTGTGGCGCCCC